CCTTTACGGACTTCCAGACCCCTCTAGAGTCCTCTGGAAGCTTCCCAACACAATACCGAAAAAATCAAACTTTTTTCGGAACCCCGATAACAACTTTTCATATATGAATCTTTACCCCCGGACTATTCCGGAGCTCCTCGTGATGTCCCGGATCCCATCCGGGACTCCGAACAACCTCCAGACTTTCCACTATTAATAGCTCAATACTACCCTAGCTACCGAACGTTAAGCCCATCACAGCCTAGTCACAAGACGACCCGAACGTTAATAGCTCAATACTACCCTAGGTAAGGGTAAAAAAGTCCTTGGTTGGGTGTCGAGGGCCCAACTCTGCCCCTGGTTGCACACGACTGGACACAACTGGCATCTCCCTATTGGTTGAGATGTCTTGTCGATTGACGGACCACGTTGATGACACTACGCACGACAAATTCACCGGATCTTAGCTGAGAAGGCAAAAGATTATTAATGCCATGAAACTGGATGCGTTCTTCTATACTAAGGGCATCTCCAATGCTGACCCTTAAACCACCCGCAACCATCTAGACCGTGTGGTCCAGGCGTGTTTTCCATCCAACCCGTTGTCATGTATCAGTCCGGACATACTTTTTCTCGCACAAGGAAAACAAATTTGGAGGGAGGGGGGCTTTGCGGGCGTTTGTACCACTGCCATGCCCGCGTCCGATAACCATGGCCCACTCAAACCCTCCTCGCCCGCACGCTTTCCCGCCCGAAGCCAGCTACTCGCATTCATGCCGCTCTAGAGCGATCGCTATGAATTGACACCAGCCCAGAACAGACATGACCTCCCACTAGTGCCAACATTGAAGCGGCTCGCCCGTCGAGAGCACCGCCCACGTCGAGTCCCTGGTGTCCATGCATTTTCAATGCTAGAGAGACGTTTATTGGAGGGGACGCGAGGATATACACCACGCCCGTCCGCCTCCTGCTATTAAACAAGCTCGCTGGTTGAGGAACCAACTTCGGCGCCCGCGCATTTACGCACTCGAACGCTTGGCCTATCTGGAATATGCTATTTAAAGGCAGCCACACCAAGCTCACAACACATGACAACACATCCGCTCCACATCTTCCTCCAGTACACCACATCCCCCATGATCGCGAGTGGGACCTCTTTGTGGGAGCCTCTCGACCCAGCGGAAGCATGAGGTGGTCGCGCTTGCGGCTGCCTGGCAGAGCAGTCATGCCATGTGGATTGAGGCCGGCATGCCGGCCAACTCCCTAGAGGCCTCAACGATGACCCCGCGATGGAGAAGGGCTCCGACGATGACTCAACGCAGAGCCCGCGTCGATGCATGCCGGCTTGACCATGGAGCAGGCGCAAGCGCAATTCACTGCCTATGGTGGAGGAGCAGCCTACGCTGACGCCTATGTCGGCATTCCGGCAGGCGCAAGAGGAACAACGATAAAACTTGTTCCTCCTCGAGCAGCACCGGCTGGCGTAGGGCCAAATCTACGGCGAGCGTGCGAGCAAGGAGGCCGTGACAGCCATGGCCGTGGCGAACCCCAACTTCATGGCAGAACAGCGGGCGCTCTACGAGGTCGTGCGTGCTCAAGTAGCCGCTCGCAACATAGAGCCGGTGTAGTCAGACTCGAAGGCGACGCTGGCGGCGCAGACGATCGAGGACGAGAATGCCACCAGCTGCATGCCGTACACACGGCCACCGATCTTTCAGGGCGCATGTGGCAAGAGGACAATGCCGGCCCGTCCACGTCCATCATCGATCTCACTCCACCGACGACAGATAGGTCGTAGACTCCAACGAGGATGAGTATGGCATGGGAGGCGGCGAGCCTCGAGTCCCAATTGGGGCGGTTTGTCTCTCATGTTCTACTCTTCCGCACCGGCAACCACACCTTCACTTCCTGGGTCTTATCCTCGCCACTCATGGAGACTGCGGCGGGCGGTTGCGGTCGTTGGAAGGGAATAATAAGGACTTGGAGACGGGCACCGTCGAATGCTAGGTTTAGGCCCGATCTCTTTTTTTCAATAAAAATGACAAAAATGGAATGAACGCACTTCGGATTGTATGGAGGTCGTGCCAATCTAGGTCAGGAGTTCTGGGAAGGAATTGGGCCATCTTGTGTTTGGGATGTGATGGGCTTAACCCCAGGCCCAATACACAATCTATGTAGGTAAGGGTAAAAAAAGATCCGAGGGCCAGCTGGCGAGGGCAACTATGCCATTGGTTGCATGCGGCCGGATAACAAGTGTCATCACCTTATTGGTCGAGACGACGCGTCGACAGACGGACCACGTCGATGACACCGCACGCGGTGTATTCGCTGTATCTTAGCTGGAAAGGCGGAAGAGTATTAATGCGATACAACTGGATGCGATTTTCCAAATAAATGACCATACTTTTTTGGCGAAAATATCGTCAGATCTATTAGCCGCGGATCAGCAATACAAACCAACCCTGAAAAATAAAGATATTATAAACAGGTCCCTAGGGTGTCTCGCACCTCAATCCTTCTGGCTGGGCCGATGGCGTGCCGCCCCAACCACTCTAGCAATTCGAGCGAACCTTGTACATTGACACGGTCGGAAAGTCATCACCGCTAAACAAACCTGGAGGATAACACAAGTCGCAGAATCCAAAACTAATGATGACGATACTGTGATATGGAAAAAAATAAATCATTCTCTTTCAAACATATAAACTCGTACAATATATTTGTTTTCTCTCTATGTGTTTTGTATGTGTACGCAATGCACATCACATATGACTTATCACTGACATATATATGTTGATACAATTAATATATCACACAACTTTTTCTCTTCGTCTATTTGACTGATCTATCATAGCATAGACACGGATCGCCGGTTAGATGAGTAACACGCAGTGAAGATTCACAGTCTCTCATGCCTTTTGTGCATGTGGAAGGTTACACAATGTTATGATCTCGTGTGAAAATAGACATAGATTGCCCTAATTTTTCATGTCTATGTCCAAAGTGTGAAAGCACCCAAGCCGCGGGGTGGCACGGTTGTTAAACCCTGCATAACCAAAACCAGCTAATAACACTATCTAACTGCTCTCCGTTTCCCCGTGTTGACCCCCGCGCGATCACACGGGCCTGCCGTCTCGGATGTGGAAAGCCGGGAGCGGGGGAATACGCGGGAAGGCGGGGGGTGGGACGCAAAAGCGGCACCCGCAGCCCGGAGGCTTTGGTATCCGTGCGGCTGGGAGTTAACCTCGCGTGCTCGTACGTACTACATACGGGGCAGGGGTAGAGAGAGAAAGAGAGAGACGCAGAGGAGGAGAGAGAGAGGGTAGCAGCAGAGGAGGAGAGAGGAGGGCTGAGTCCACGTGAGCCCAGCGGAGGAGGCGGAGGAGGAGCGAGAGATCCCCCTCTCCCTCCCTCTCTCCGGCCATGGATCCTCCCTACGCAGGTCAGCGCCGCCGCTGCCTCCCGATTCCTACGCTGTCCTATCTGTCTCTCTGCCATCTGGCCGTCGGCGGCGGCCGGCCTAATGCCGCGCCGCTCGATCTGTTCGCCCGGGCGCCGAATCTGCCGTCCGGCCGACGCGGACTGGTTCCTCCGTGCCGGTAGCTTCCGGCGAGGCCTCCGGGCCAGGTTTGCGCGTTTCGCGGCGGCAGGCGGGGCGTCTACGCGCGTCCGGCCCGAGATTTGGCCGTCTTCGCCGGAGGATTCGTCCCCGCGACGCGTCCCGTCGGTTAGCGCGCGGTAAATTCGATCGGTAGTGGCGGTGGTAGTACTAGTCGTTGATGCGTGCGTGGCTGTACCGGTGGTGGTTGGTGGGCGGTACGGCGGTGGAGGTGGAGGCGGGGGGCACGGCATGTGGTCGCGGGAGACTTTTACCGCCGGTAGCGCCAGATTCGGCGCTGCATGCGGCGACGGCAAAGCGCATTGCGCTCCTTGCGTCCGCGGGAGTCCGCCGGGAACAGTGGCTCCGTGGCTTTACGTCGTTTTCCTGAGGGATTTACGTGTCGATGTCTGGTTTCGAGGGGAAAGCCTCGGTCTTTTGGCCGGTGATTCGGTTCCTGGGGCGTCCATTGGACGCCGGCTGTGTTGAGCGGGGCTTCTGCTCGCATGCATGTGGATGGTTTTATCTGTTTTGCGGTATTTGTAAGGACGGCAGGGGTTAGCAGGATTAAATCTGTTAGGATTCAGGAGGGTGGTGGCAGTCTCTCGCGTTCCATGTCAAGCTGCTGTCCATGGGCGCAAGTAGATGGTTTCCTTATGCCAACCCTGGTTCGTGGTGTTCATGCTATTTTTGTTGGGTGGTGTATGTACAATGCACATGTCTCCACTTAATGTGCCTGTGTCTGGTACCAAGTTCTGAACCTTTGTAGAGAGAATGGCATTGCCAGTCTTAACCCAAGGTTGCAGAAGGGCCTCAAAAGAGTTGAACTTTGTCGGGTGCATTTCGAGTTTGTATAGCATTGCAAGATCTTCCTGAAAGTTACTACTACTCCCTCCGTCGCAAAATTCTTGTCTTAGATTCGTCTAAATACGGATGTATCAAGTCACGTTTTAGTATTAGATTCGTCTAAATACGGATGCATCTAGACAAATCTAAGACAAGAATTTTGGGACGGAGGGAGTATATTTTTAGGGTACGTAGTATAGCACTGGAAGATCTTCCTGAAAGCTATATTTTTAGAGTATGTAGTATAGCATTGTGGTCAGTGGCAGCAGCTTTTGGTTCGGTAGTGTTGTGCATGACCGCACTTGTTATGTCGTGTACAAACCAACTTAACTGCGGTATAATGCATATGTAAAGATTCTAAGGCCTTAAATTGAGTTTTTCTTGCATGTGTTATGCCTTTTAGTAGCAACTGGCAATCTAAGCCTCTCATTTGTCATGCTATTCCTTGACATATCTGTGGGATATTGGGTTGTAATGAAGTTGGAATTTTCGGTTCTCAAGTTGTACATTGCTGATACATTATTTTCAATATGCGTGCTTACAAAGTTTGTTTGGTATATTCTTTTCTACCTTCTGGATGCGCAAGCATATCTGGTTACGCATCTCAAATCTACTGGTGCACAAGATTGATTGCAGTGTTTATTATTTGGATTGTGATATACTAATATGGTTCAGTGTGTCCTTTCCTCCAGGAGCTATTATTGAACCTGCTAAATGCCGATTGATGAGTGTGGATGAAAAGAAGGATCTTGTTCGTGAATTATCGAAGAGGCCACAAACTGCTCCTGACAAACTACAGTCATGGAGTCGGCGTGATATTGTGGAGATTCTCTGTGCTGATCTCGGAAGGGAAAGGAAATATACTGGATTATCTAAGCAGAGAATGCTGGATTATCTCTTCAGGGTGGTGACTGGCAAATCATCTGGCCCTGTGGTGCATGTGCAAGAAAAGGAGCCAACTCTCGATCCCAACGCAAGCAACCATCAGTACCCAGCAAAGCGTCAAAGGAAGAGTGACAATCCATCACGACTGCCAATTGCTGTCAACAATCCGCAAACCGCAGTTGTACCCGTGCAGATTAATAATGTGCGGTCCTGCCGAAATATAGCATGCAGAGCGATTCTTAGCATGGAAGATAAATTTTGCAGACGCTGTTCATGCTGCATATGCTTCAAGTATGATGACAACAAGGACCCTACCATATGGTTGTCCTGTAGTTCAGATCATCCCATGCAAAAGGGTTCTTGCGGGTTATCATGCCATCTTGAGTGTGCTCTCAAGGATGGAAGAACTGGCATTCTGCCGAGTGGGCAGTGCAAGAAACTTGATGGTGCTTATTACTGCCCTAACTGTCGGAAGCAGCATGATTTGCTCAGGTATGTATTCTGGGGCATTGTTTTTATTCATGCAGGTTTTCTGTTCTAAATTGAAAAAGAAAAGTAACTTAGATTGTTACTTTGCTTGTTTTCCTGGCTTCCAGGCTTGCTGTTTCACTGCCTTAGTTTGTTTATTACGGCATTGCTTGCGCTGATTTACAGTTAAGATAAATGCATTTTGCATCTGCTGCATGTCTGTTAACAAGAATCCTGTTAAATCATTACCTTAGTAGTATCTTTTAAAGTAGTTATAATAAAAGAGCTTGATGAAGTAAGTGACTTCTTAAACAACCCAGTACAATGTACTTTTATCATATATTTGTATTCATCAAGTTTACCAGTCCATTTTCCATACAATAGCAACTCTTAAGATTTCTGATCCATTTTACACTGCCCATTGCTCTGTTTCCTCTTGTTTGAATGTTTGAATCATAACTAGTCCGTCCTTTTAGTAAATTATATTGTCGAGCAATAATATGAACGTTTGAATCATCAAGTTTACCAGTCCATTTTCCATACAATAGCAACTCTTAAGATTTCTGATCCATTTTACACTGCCCATTGCTCTGTTTCCTCTTGTTTGAACGTTTGAATCATAACTGGTCCGTCCTTTTAGTAAATTATCTCGTCGAGCAATAATATGAACGTTTGAATCATCAAGTTTACCAGTCCATACAATAGCAACTCTTAAGATTTCTGATCCATTTTACACTGCCCATTGCTCTGTTTCCTCTTGTTTGAACGTTTGAATCATAACTAGTCCGTCCTTTTAGTAAATTATCTCGTCGAGCAATAACATGACTGTTTAATGTTCTTGTTCAGGTCCTGGAAGAAACAACTAATGTTAGCTAAAGAGGCTCGGCGGCTGGATATATTGTGTTACCGGATTTTTCTGGGTCATAAGGTCCTCTTCTCCACGGAGAAGTACTCGGTCTTGCATAAATTTGTTGACACAGCAAAGCAGAAACTTGAGGCTGAGGTTGGCTCTGTAGCCGGGTATGGAAATATGGGTCGTGGAATTGTCAGTCGGCTTACTTGTGGTGCTGAGGTTCAGAAACTTTGTGCTGACGCACTAGATGTCATGGAGTCTAAGTTCCCTGTTGAATCTCCTACTAACTCACAATTTGAACGTAAGTTTTGAGGTCCTTCACATTAGATCTAACATATGGAAATGATGATATTAACTTTGTGCATCTTTGCATTTTCAGGATCCAATATGATGCCATCGAGCTTCATAAAGTTTGAACCTATAACGCCTACATCTATCACTGTAGTTTTTGATTTGGCTCGATGTCCTTACATCTCCCAAGGGGTAGCTGGCTTTAAAGTATGGCACCAGGTGGATGGTACAGGATTTTACTCGTTAAATCCAACTGGCACCGTACATCTAATGTCAAAAACATTTGTTGTCACTGAACTCAAGCCAGCTACATGCTATATGATCAAGGTAACTGCATTCAGCAACTCCAGTGAGTTTGCGCCATGGGAAGCCAGGGTAAGTACAAGCTCTCTGAAAGAAAGTGATCTGAAGGGTTTGGCTCCAGGTGGTGCTGGATTAGTAGACCAAAATAACAGGAGCCCAAAGACAAATAGTGGTGGTCAGTCTGATCGTTCTTCAGAGGGAGTTGACTCAAACAATAATGCAACAGTGTACACTGATCTTAACAAGTCGCCGGAAAGTGATTTTGAGTACTGTGAAAATCCTGAGATCCTTGATTCCGACAAAGTGCCTCATCACCCCAATGGGCCTAGCAATAACTTGCAAAACATGCAGATAGTTGCAGCTAGGGTACCAGAGGTCACTGAACTGGAGGAAGCTCCTGGGCTCTCAGCGTCAGCTTTGGATGAGGAGCCTAATTCAACAGTTCAAGCTGCTTTACTTAGGGAGTCTTCAAACTCAATGGAGCAAAACCAAAGAAGCGATGTTCCTATATCACAGGATGCATCAAATGCAACTGCTGGAGTTGAGTTGGCGCTTGTTCCTCGATTTGTTGGCTCTATGCCACCCACTGCACCAAGAGTTATGGAAACTGGTAAGGAGACTGGTGGAAGGAGCTTCAACACAAAACCTTCTGACAACATCTTTCAGAATGGCTCCTCAAAGCCTGAAAGAGAGCCAGGGAATTCGTCAAACAAAAGATCGGGTAAATTCGAGGATGCTGGCCACAAGGATGGATGCCCCGAAGCAACTTATGAGTACTGTGTCAGGGTGGTGAGGTGGCTGGAGACTGAGGGCTACATTGAGACCAACTTCAGGGTGAAGTTCTTGACATGGTACAGCTTGCGTGCTACCCCGCATGATCGGAAGATTGTCAGCGTGTATGTGGACACCCTCATCAATGATCCTGCAAGCCTCTGCGGCCAGCTGACCGACACCTTCTCGGAGGCGATCTACAGCAAGAAGCCGCCTTCAGTCCCCTCTGGCTTCTGCATGAACCTCTGGCATTAAGCGCGACGGAAGCTGTCACCGCCTTCTCTTCCTGGGGAGGGTGTGTGCCTTGGTCCCATTCTTTCGTAGCAGATCGATCGTTGCATTGATTCTTCATTGGAGATTTCATTGAAGCAGTAGTTGACTTATATACAATGTGTTGTTGGTTGTAACCTTGTCTGTCCGCTGTCACCGTAGGAGGTTTATGTTACCTGGCACCTTATTTCATCTCTTCTGCTACTCTCTAGTCTGTTGCGTCGTCTCATGCTGTCTTGGTAGCATGATGAGCTGCGCGAGTCGTCAGTTGCGTCGCCTCGTGCTACCTTTGTAGCATGAGGAGTTGAGTCGTCGGTCGGGTTAAAGCATGGAACATGAGTTGTGCTGAGTCGGTCGGTCGGGTTAAAGCATGGAACATGAAATCTTCTGTTTCCAACTGTTGCAAGAAGAATGATTCTTATGTATGCTGAATCTGGCTGAGTTTTTATCTGTTTGAGTTTGCAGCTCCACTGATCTGCAGATCTTTGCTTTCGATTACTTTGCTTCCGTCTACCTATAGACAGACGGTTAGTCTGTCTGTTCTTCCAGGTCTGCAGTGTATGAAGGTCAAGTTGGGCAGCTGAAGCAGCATGGTTACCTGAGTCATATGAATGGCTGTGACTAGCAATTCATACAGACCTCCTGTTACCAGGGGATGGAACCATAGCCTCAACGCCAAAGCATGGCAGCCTAAAAGCCCTAGACTCTTTTTCTGAGAACTCGCAGCACCTTTGCCCTGCCAATCTCTTGTTATCGCATCATCAGCTGGGTAAAGCGAAAACATTCTTTCTCAAGATCATGAGTCATGGCCGTTCTTCAGATAAACCTCATTCAACCAGTCCAACAAGTTCATGTTTTTCACTCATCCGTCTCAGAGGCCAAGAGGATACATTGCTGCATGAAGAAGAGGTAGGATTGCCGCAAAGGAGAAGATTCAAGTAGATAGTAGTTGCCGGGCTTGGGGACGATCAAGGACATGCTATGGGAATGGCGGCTGCCGTCGACGACCATAGGCGACCTGGTGCTTGCCCCAGCGCTAGCCAAAGCTCCGGCATCTAAACATGGGTATCTTCCACAGCCTCCGGTACCGGCCGTCGTAGTGATGGACATTAATAGGACACGAACGTGGGCGAGACCTGTACGTGCGGCATAGTAGATGATCATCTTGATGGTATGCAGTGCAGGCGAGACCTAAAGCTGTCGGATGCTGCCATGATGCAGCTCTTGCACCGCAGATAAATTTGAAGCCCTTTTGCCCCCAGAGGCAGCTGGAAATAATTACAGCCCTCCATTACTCGGCGTGTTAAGAAGATGCACAGTATATATCATGGGCTGGGCTTGTGCTATGAAGTTCAACATATAAATTCTAAAATGCATCGAAGCTCGTCTCCTGCTTACCCACTCAAAAGATAGGAGTGCTGGGGCGTGTGCGAGCTGACATCCTTCATACAAACCAATAGAGAAGCCGATGCATTTCTTCAAAGAGCCTTTTTCTTTTCTTTTTTTGCTTTTTGTACCAAGCAGCGACTCTTTGTTGGTACGTACAGTACAAGCGTAGGAGTTGGAGGTACCAGGAAAAAATGCCACAGAGATACAGCCTAGCCCCAGCGCTAGCCAAGCTCCGGCATCTAAGCATGCCTATCTTCCTCAGCTTCCAGCAACGGCCCTCGTAGTGATGGACATTAATAGGGCGCGAACGTGAGGGAGATCTGCAGGTGCGGCATCGTAGATGGTCATCTTGATGGCCACGATGCAGCTCTTGAACTGCAGGATATCGTCCAACTGATTTGAGCCAATAAATTCGGAGCCCTTTTGCCCCCCAGAGGCAGCTGGAAATCATTGTAGCCTTTCATCACCCGGCGTGTTATGAAGATATATACCATGGGATGGGTTTGTGCTACGAGTTCAACACAAATTCTAAGATGTGTGGAAGCACATCTCCTGCATACCCACTCAAAAGATAAGGGTGCCAATACAGAAGCCGATGCATTTCTTCAAAGAGTCTTTTTCTATTTCTTTTTTGCTTTTGGTATGAAGCTGCCACTCTTGTTGGTACGTGCAAACATAGGAGTTGGAGGTACCGGGAAAAAATGCCGCAGAGACACCGCCTAGCCCCCAAGCACTTCCTTTCCCTGTCGCCCGTGTAGTGCTTTGGCACGTACGAGCTCGGCAGTCGCAACACGCCGCTCTGCTATGTATTCTCGCAGCCCTTCATGTGGCCACTCTGACACTGAACCTCAAGGCTGGTGGGCTCTTGTTTTCGTAAAATGGAGCAATGGATGAGTCCCTGGTTTCCTAGATTTGTGTTACCAAAACTTGCGATGATTGAGCATCGCTTCCGATTTATTTATTTGTACACGTCGATAATCAATCCATTGCAATTAGGGGCAGCACGGCAAGCCGCACCCCTCCTCCTCTATCCCTAACCATATGTCGGTGCTACAACGCAAGAGATAGAGCGACATGAGAAAGGTGCACATTCCATACATTTCTGCCACAATCGACTTCAGATTATTTCGATCATTATCATTAACCATGCATGAGTTGAGAAAGATAATCTCCACTGGCATTGTAAAAGGCTAGCTAAACTGTACCTAAAATCTTTTAGACAATAACAAGTGCATTGCCACATTTTCCCGTCAACATGAGCTTTTCTTTCGACAAGTGACGTTTTTGTTGACTAATCATACCAGGCGATACAATCGCAAAGACTCCACACTGGTCTATGCATAACTGCATAACATGATGCACACAACCTTTTACAAATAAAACGCCTCATCTTGAAATAAAATGACATAGTGTGACAAAACAAAACATAGTCTATGGTGATTAATTGCCGATCCAAAGATTCTTTCTAACCAAATCCACTTTGATATGTTGCTATAACTAACTCCATGTGCCCCGAAAGCTGAAGCTAGGGTCAAGTAGTATTGAAGTAAGGACCAAGCTATAGAGCCAATGCGTATATAATTCATAACCTATTGTCATAGCCCTCCCCCTCCCCCTCCGTTGCCCCCGCCGAGCGACCGAGGGGATCCAACCCTCCGCTGTTGGCCCCCTCCTCCTTCGCGCTCCCCCCTCCGCCGCCGCTGGTGGTCGGCGCCAGGCTAATCCCTCGCGCGCGATGGCGGCGGCGGAGGCATCGCCCTTGCACTCCAGGCTAGGGATGCATGGGATTCTCGATCTCGAGGATGAGGCCCCGATCTATGGCAGCGGTACCGATCTGGCCCATGGCGGTCTCCATGAGCGCGGCGGCATGGCGGCCGACCGGTTCCTAGGGGCGGCCGTGGCGGCAACCTGGCTATGCTCTACCTGATCTGAGGCGGAGGGTGCTGGATCCAGGGCGGCAGCCCCTAGGCTGGCCTCCTTGTCCGGGCGCGGCGGGGCAGGTGGGCTGCTGGGGATCAGATATGTGGCCGGTGATCCTCCGGAGGTTTGGTGTCACGGCGTCAAATCTAGTGGTTCCCCTCCCTCCTGCTACCTCTCTCGTCGTCCCGGTGGTTTGCGGCCGCAAGATCCGGTGATGCTGAGCCCTGGTGGTGTGACTTGGGTCCGGGGGAAACTTTGGCAGGTCTGGCCGGCCCAACGGCGGCGGCGTCCATGGACGCGCTTTCCTTCATGAAGGCGCAGTTGAGGGCCCAATCTACCCACCCCGATCTCATGACAGGTGAAAACCTACAATCCTCTTATGATTTGGCGGCAGCGGTGCTTCACGTTGTGACCTTCCTGGAGGTGTCGTCAGGGGCCTTGGGGCTCAGTTGGGAGCGTAGAGTAACTGCAGATGGAGGGATGGGACTAGTGGCGGCAGGTGGTGTTCGCGAAGGAGGTGCGACGTTGCATCTAACACGTCGACAACGGCAGGTCCCAGCGGCATGGAGCAGTGGGTGAGAGAGTCCTAGATTCGGGGGTCCTCAGGTGTTCGGCCTATTCGATATGGGCCGGACTGATGGGCCGTGAAGCTAAAGCAAAAGACCACCCCCCGTGTCCGGGTGGGACTCCTATATGCGTGGACGGCAAGATTGGTGTCCAGATGTACTATTTCCTTCCCTTGTAAACTGACTCTATACAACCCTACATCCCTCCGGTGTTTATATAAACCAGGGGGTTTAGTCCGTAGAGGCTATCAGAATATTCATAGGCTGGATAGCTACGGTTAGCCATTACGATCTCGAGGTAGATCAACTCTTGTAACCCCTATACTCATTGAATACAATCAAGCAGGACGTAGGGTTTTACCTCCTTTAAGAGGGCCCAGACCTGGGTAAACGTCGTGTCCCATTGTCTCTTGTTACCATTGATCCTTAGATGCACAGCTTGCCCCCCCTACCCGAGATCTGCCGGTTTTGACACCGACATTGTTGCTTTCAATGAGAGCTCCGCTGTGTTGTCACGAAAAGTGATCCATGGCTCGCCTCGTCATTAACAACGACATCACCTCTGGAAGGAGCCTAACTTCTGGGCAGATCCTCCAGCTCGGTGGTTTCACCATGGGTGCCCATACGACCATTAAGCCAACAACGCCCCCTACAATCGCCAAACACCACCCCCGCATCGATCTCGAGTTTTCTGAAAAGATGGATCCGGTGGACGTCCCGTCCTTAAACGACCTGCTAGATCGCATCGCCGCCCTAGGGGTCTCGACATACTATGATCGGATCGGGATTAAACCTGACTAGAGGGAAATCAATCTCCTGCCGATCACCCACCTGGTAGCGGTCATCGAGGAACGAGCCGATGACACCTCTCTCCCTATATTAAGAACCAGACATGTTCGGGTCTCCAAACCCCTCGAGCCGGATACCCCTCTTTCGAATGGGACTCCGCATCCCCCAAACTCAGGATCGGATGTAGGATCTGGGAAGCACTTGGATCTCCCCGGACCCGAACTGGTAACCTCGGAGACTTTGCAAGCTCCAGACACAAATTTGGGCCGGGATTCAAGTTTTAGCCCACCCACCCACCACAATCAATACTCCCCAAGTAAT